AAAAAAAAAAGGTTTTTAAAGAAACAACAACATTGAAACGGGAGTGTCAGTTGAAGGGGGCCCCTCCCCCCCCCCCCCCCCGGGAAGACTTCTCATATCGAGTCCTCCATATTGCCAGCATCAACCAGGATGGCATCAAATCCATATTTGGGCAAGCTACAATGAAAAAGTATTGAGGGATGTTGTGTCTACAATGGCTGGATCTGGGCTGCAATACCCACCTTCCTCAGCTGTCTTGAGAAATCAAAAGAACATCCAAAACACCAGTGATTGGCTGTGAAATGGGTCTTCTCCCTACCTTTTTACTCTAACATGAAAGGAAATATGAAATACGAAAGTTGATGCTGTTTTTATTCCAGGGAGATAAACTTATGCACGCCAAAAATCTTGGAATAGTTGAGCAATTTGCAAAACATGCCATGTTCTGTATAGTCTCTCAGCTATACAGAACCCCAAATGTAAGTTAGGAGCTCCCCTTCTCGATGGGGTACAGTGCAAATACATCACCTGTTAAAGGATTCATTTACGATTTGGCAAATTGTTAACGAAACCAAAGTCCGCCTAGTTAGCTGGGTTTTTAAATAAAATTCTGGGCCAAGTCCAGTTACTTTTAGTTTTATCTGCATTATCGCTGCACCCAGTGCTATAGTATACCTCTTGAGGTATGCCCATATGTCTTTGTGTGCGTGCATATGTGTGTGTATACATATACACACATATATTGTGTATGGGCATGCTCATACACATGTTGCATTCTCGGGACATATTTATATTTATATTGACAAGTCCAGTTTTTTTACAATAAAAAGGACCTTAGTGACAAAAATATTTAAAATGTTACCTTTTAACGAGCTGTTTCTTAAAATGGGGGAGACGGAGAGAGGGAGAAAGAGAGAAGATTAAAGAAAAACAATCTATGTACAGAAATTTGTAAAAAAATAATACTACTTTTTTAAAAAAAATACTAACTCTTCAAGAGAGGCTGCATTATTGAGGGTAGCAAGAGAATATCAAGCTTAAAGGCCTCCCAGATTGTTTCAACGCTGGCAATATGTATAAAAGTGTGAGAACTACATACATGAAGGACAATAAACTTGAACCTCCACGGGATAAGAGTACAAGCCACTGTACATTAAAATGTATTTAAATTTGCAAATACACTGTCTATATGTAAGGTACTGTATGTAAAGCTGTTTATTAAACTATTCTGCATACCACACACACTTTCTGTCTCATCAATTTGCTTTTCAGAGTATTGAATAAATCCTGAGCATTTCAAGGCGGGTGTTGGGCAGATGTGCTGCCACTGGGGGGGGGGGCGCTTTGAAGACCACCCTCTGGGGTTTTGTTGGGAAGCAAGAATAAAGGTAAAGGTTCCCCTCGCACATATGTGCTAGTCATTTCCAACTCTAGGGGGCAGTGCTCAAAGCTGAAGAGCCAGCACTGTCCAAAGACGTCTCCGTGGTCATGTGGCCGGCATGACTAAATGCTGAAGGTGCGCAGAACGCTGTGACCTTCCCACCAAATGGTCCCTATTTTTCTACTCGCATTTTTACATGCTTTTAAACTGCTAGGTTGGCAGAAGCTGGGACGAGTAACGGGAGGTCATTCCGTTACACGGCACTAGGGATTCGAACTGCCCACCTTTCTGATCGACAAGCTCAGCGTCTTAGCCACTGAGCCACCATGTCCCTGTAAGAATACAAGAATATTCTTGTATAAGAATATAAGAAGTCAGAGTACACCACCGTAATTAGGTACTAGGATTAAAGGAAGTCCTCGGTGTGTGACTGTAATGTAAGTTTGTCCATTACCGTCTCAAAATGGGTCCGTCATTCAACCAACCTGATTTTACAGCATTTTTTTTTTCAGTTTACCATTTATAAAATAAAAACCCGAAATTTGGTTACATCATAGATCTAGTGGATTGGGAAAGAATTTGGAACACAAATTATAAACGAACACGATCAGTAGCACTTAAAGAAAATATATACAACATGTTTTATTGTTGGCACTTATCACCAACAAGATTGGCTAAAATGTACCCAAACATGAAGCCGACCTGCTGGAAGTGTAAAAAAGTACAAGGGACTTTTTATCGCATATGGTGGACTTGCCCGGAAACACAAAAATATTGGACAAAAATTTGGAAATGGGTGCAAGAAATTACAGGAGANAGTTAGAACAATCAATCAGTGGAACAGAAATTGCCTCCAGAAGTTGTGAATCCCCCAACACTGGAAGTCTTTAAGAAGATGTTGGATAGCCATTTGTCTGAAACGGTATAAGAGTTTCCTGCCTAGGCAGGGGGTTGGACTAGAAGACCTCCAAGGTCCCTTCCAACTCTGCTATTGTATTGTATTGTATATTTCCTTCTGTAGAAAGTTAGCGGCCACCCCTTTCCTAGAAGAATGGAATACTTTAGGAAATATTAAAAAGGCAGAATATTTCCCCTAAAAAAGAGAAAGAGAAATCTTAAGGGAGACAGAAACTCAGAGCTGCAGCTCCCTGCCCCCAGCAGATATTTGGTGCTCATTGGTTGGACTAGAAGACCTCCAAGGTCCCTTCCAACTCTGCTATTGTATTGTATTAAAAAATATCCATACATGTGGCGAACGTTAAATAAGCGAGTTGGTCTTCAATTAAGCATCTGCATGACTTCAGGAAATATCAAAATTGGCAGAGGATTCATTTTTCCTAGAATGTATTCAGAGTTTTGGTTGTCAACCCAATTTGCTGAGAAATCCCCGGGATCTTGAATCTTAGGATTTCTGTCAAGTACTATAAGTAGTCCTCCACTTATGACCACAATTGAGCCCAAACTTTCCGTTGCTAACCAAAGGGAGTTGTTAAGTGATTTTTATCCCATTGTATGATCTTTCTTCCCACAGTCGTTAAGCGAACCACAGCAGTTGTGAAGTTAGTAGCAAGTTGTTAAATGAATTTGGATTCTCCATTGACTTTGCTTGTCAAAAGGTGGCAAAAATGTCCCAAGGGTGGGGTTCCCCCCCCCTCCAAAAAAAAGACAACTGGATTTTGTGGTACCTTTTTCCTTTGAAAATGTTTCACTTCTCATCCAAGGAGATTCTTTCATTCTTCAGTTCTGACTGAAGAAGCTTCTTGGTTGAGGCTCATTTTGAAAGGGGAAAAAATAACACACTAAAAAAGCCCAGCCGTGACCTGGATAACTGGGAATCTTCATAATCACAAAAGGTGATGACGTGACCCCGGGACACTGAAACTGTCATAAATGCCAGCTGCCAAGCTGTCCCCAATTTTGATCACATGACCACGGGGATGCTGCAACAATCATAAGTGTGAAAAATGGTAATGATCTATTGCTATTTTTGTATGTACACTGAGAGCTTATGCAGAGGAGACAAATTCCTTGTGTTTCTAATTACACCACGCCAATAAATCTATGCTGTGCTATTCTATTCTATTTGAGATGAGACAAGACTAGACTAGATTATAAAGAGTGCAGAGAAGAGCAACAAAAATGATTAGGGGAGTGGAGGCTAAAACACATAAAGAACAGTTGCAGGAATTGGGTATGTCTAGTTTGATGAAAAGAAGGACTTTTGGGGTGACATGATAGCAGTGTTCCGATATCTCAGGGGGTGCCCCAAAGAAGAGTCAAGCTATTCTCCAAAGCACCTGAGGGCAGGACAAGAACCAATGGGTGGAAACTAATCAAGGAGAGAAGCAATTTAGAACTAAGGAGAAATTTCTTGACAGTTAGAACAATTAATCAGTGGAACAACTTGACTCCAGAAGTTGTGAATGCTCCAACACTGGAAGTTTTTAAGAAGATGTTGGATAGCCATTTGTCTGAAGTGGTGTAGGGTTTCCTGTTAAAGCAGGGAGTTGGACTAGAAGACCTCCAAGGTCCCTTCCAATTCTGTTATTCTATCCTATCCCATTCCTATCCCTATCCTGTTCTATTCTGTCAGTTTTTGTAGGGCCCTTGTAACTTCAACGTTCTTTAAACGAATGGTTGTAAGTTGAGGACTTCCTGTACTGTGCTTTATCATTTTTATTATGAATGTCGTTAACTGATACTCTTTGCAATGGAGGAATTGCCTTAGTTGACTCTCCGTTTCTGCCGAGTCATTCGGAAGCAGCAATTTTCTTTTGTCTCCCTGCAAAGGCCACTTTGAGGGTCACCGATGTTGTAGAATTGTTTTGATAACCTGGTTCTCTTTTGCGGTCACTGCACAGAAGCATTCAGCCGAAGGGAACACCGTGTTTGTATTCAACGAAAAAAGAGGCGCCGAGGAACATGTGGACGCCCGTCTTCAGTGGCAGCTAAACCTCCTTACCCACATAGAAAACACGCAGAACGAAGTCACTAGTAGAATGGACCTGATTGAGAAGGAAGTCGACGGTAACTGTTTTTAAGGCTCAGCTTAAATGCTGACATTCTCTCTTTCCCAAACTCTTTTACTTGGGTAGCAAAAAGAGGTATAAAATGTGCTGGACAAAATACAGTTGGGATTTTTAGCTCAAGAGCCAAAGATACGGGTGTTGGTACCGGGGGTTTGCCAAGTTCCCTATCCCACCTGACTTTTACATTTAAAAACGTCTAGCTATAAAATGTCTCATTCGATTTTGATCCCATCTTTATTGTTTTTCATAAATAACGGTGGCGAACATATCCAACACACATTCCTCTTCCTATTTTCCCCAAAACAACAGTCTTGTGAGGCGGTTTGGGCTCTGAGAGAGTGACTAGGAAGCCACCAAGCAGGCTTACATGGCTTAAGCAGGACTAGAACTCACTGTCTTCTGGTGATTGTCCCAAGGTCACTTACTAGGCTTGGGGGTGCCTGTGGCCCGAACACTCTGCAAGCAAAAATGGAGCTCGGGAGGCTGTGATGGCCTCCTGCGACCCTCCCGAGCTCCATTTTCGCTGGCCGAGGCACTGGGGGCCGGTCTTTTGCTGTTTCCAGGGCAGCCCCACGGGCCAGATCTAAGCACCCCACAGGCCGGATCTGGCCCGCGGCTCTTGAGTTTGACACCCCTGTTCTAAGTCCCGAAGTCGATCAAGAGATCACTGTGCATAATAGGCTTTTCATATCTTTTTCTTTCTTTTCTTTCTCTTTTTTTGCCCCCCATTACAGTTTTAGAAAGCTGGCTTGATTTCACCGGAGAATTGGAGCCCCCCGACCCCCTCGCCCGTCTGCCTCAGCTCAAGCGCCGCATTAAACAGCTCATCTCCGACATGAGTAAAGTCCAACAAATTGCCACCCTCTGCTCCGTATGACGAAAGGAAAGATGAAGGAATACACACAGGCATCCAGGCTCCGACGATGGGTTTCCTCTGATTGACAAGACTCACAAAAGGGTACCTTTTAAAACAAATACACAAAAAAACACACAAAGCCTGAACGCTGCTCCTTATTCTCCACCAATTCTCTCATGAGGCTGAAAACAACATGCGGTATGGTAGGGTAAAGGGAGAAACCTCCCTCATCAAGGAAAGATTCGTACAGGTTTGGTCTGAAAAGCAGGGGAATAAAAGAAGGTTTGTGTTTTTCTTTCCACTTATGAGGGTTTCGGGATCCTCAAACCCCAGGCATGTTTTTCCTACCTTTTCACACGCAAAATATCACGGGAGAAGCCCACAAACTGTTAAAAACGTCATCGCAAAAGCAGCCGGCCAAAGCAATCGGCAGTGGGAGAAGGAACAAGTTTTACACAACTTGAGTCCGGACGGTAGGAGGAGGATATTGAGGCCCAGTTGGTCATTGAACAAATGCCTGTTTTTCATAGTACTGTAGAGATCCAGGAAAATGAGAAAAGAAAAATATAAAATTCTAGCTTTCCTTTTCAGGAGAAACTTGGTTTTTTTTAAAAAAAAAATGGTAGCCTCTCTATGAATATTTTTTTAAGCCGAGTCTTCTTTGCATATTGAATCTTATGCTCCGTTTTTAGAAAACCAAACCTTGGGAAAAGTCATGGTCAAAAAGTGCCAAAAAAAAAAAAAAGTTTTTAAAGAAACAACAACATTGAAACGGGAGTGTCAGTTGAAGGGGGCCTCTCCCCCCC